GCCACAGAGACATCTGGGATCAGCGAAGGCTTCTTTGACGACAGCTCTGCCGCTGCGTCCTTTTCCGGGCTGTCAGACGTCTCATTCACAGGTCCAATCACTTTAGGAGAACTTAGTTCTTTCTGCGAGGTTTCCCTCTCCATGCGCTTCCGAGCCTCCTCTCTCCTCTGCTGGATGCGGGTGTTGTCTCCCATCATCACCCTGACTCTAACTTGATCTGGAGGCCAGATACCGCCCCATATGAACTGCAGGTAGCTGAACAGCACAATGGCACTGAGGAAGGCTAAGTTGGTGGCCACGCCGATCACTGCAGACGTCAGGGGGAAGTTGTACAGAAGATATCTTATACCGGTGAAGTAAGCGTGGATACGGAGCTGAGAGGAGTAGATCTGCACGTGTTTGGACTGGATCTCGATGACTGCACCGACAGTGGGCTGATAAGCATTCGTCTTGTAGTCTGTGAAGAGCTCAACCTCGATGAGCTGCTTCTGCTCGCTCATCCCCGTCAGAAGGAAAGGAGAGAACATAAAAGTACTCAGGGTCTGCAGGAGGTCGGAGCGGTAGTGCAGCATCGTAGAGCGTCCCACCGATGAGACAGTCATCCCTCCTTTGGAATAAGGAGACATCTTCACCATGAACATACCCAGCTTTTCGTTCACCGGAGACTCTGGCATCTCCAGGTCCAGAGATATTCGATAGGGCTGCCCGTAGGCCATCACCTGGTCCCTGTCGTTCTTCATGAAGGAGATGTTGGCCGTGGGGAATGAACAAAGCGCTGACTCCGAGGCATCACAGTCAGAGGTGTAGTAGAAGTGCACAGGGGTGGAGAAGCTCACCGTGGGCATGTAGGAGTAATAGAAGCTCCCGTAGAGGAAGATGGACACCCACAGCAGCAGAACCAGGACACACAACAGGATGGCAGCCTGGAATAAAGTGCGCCGGGCTTTGAGGAGAGTCACAGCCGCCACATCGTGCAGCCAGTGCAGAACCGGTCCCATCGTGCCCCCCATCGTGTCTGATCCGGAGCTCGCAGACCTTCTCCTGGTCCTGGTTTGGGCTGCTATTCCTCCTTGGAGCCCCGCTGACTGCTGCCTCTGTGGTGGCTCCTCTTTGTGTCCATACATGAGTGGGTGGATCCCCTCCGGAGCGGTATAATTGTTTATCTTCGCCCGCCCATGTCTGTTCAACTCCCAGCTAAAACTCACACACTCGCATCGCTACGGTGTTTTTATAGCTCGTTAAAACTAACTGCTGCTGGTTTCAGATCCTCAAACTATGCACGCTGAATACTCGAAACTACCTAAATATCCTCAGCTCCTCAGGGTTGACCGCTGGTGTTGTCTATTGACTTGTTTAGAGGATGTAAGCTCTTTAACTTTGGCAGCTTCCTCAACTGCTGCTAAACACAAAACATGACCTTCTTCTTCTTCTTCGGAGTTTAATGTCGGTTGATAAACCAGCTCATAGGTGCAGCAGCGCCACCTGCTGGACTGACGTGTAGCGCAGTAAAATTACATAATTATAATGTTATTCTTAAATTATTCATTATTTATTTCCAAGTAGATTATCCCATATATATCTAGTTATTAACTGTTTTTATATAAATACTTATTACTCCCAGTCAGCAGTAA